GGAAAAATAAAGAAGAGACGGGGGAACAAAGGATACGGAATACTCCGTACTCCGTAGATCCACACGCAAAAAGCCAGGTGATTACCAAAAACGATAACCGGGAAATAAAATAAAAAGACTCGGAGAAAATAAAGATCTGAAACGGCTATTTCTTAGTCATCATGCTTCACGGGAACAACGGCTCTAATCAGGGTGGATCGAGCTTAATTAGTAGAATGGGAGATTACTGTTGCTTGCATTTTTACCACTAAAGACCATACCAGTCTCTTTTTGTCCAAACAATGACAAGTTGAAATCTTTTTCTTCTTTCTTTTTTGGCAAGAAAAAAGCCAAAAATAGAGTGGTGGGGAATAATACCATGGACGTAGCAACGAGCCACAAATCCAAGCCCCGGGCCACGGCCTCATGTCACCCTTGTCGAACTCGCAAAGTGAAGGTATGTGTTGTTTCAGATACGATGCCGTACCCCCCTACCTCCTCCCACCACCCCCTTGCCTTGACGTCTACTTACAGGCGTTTTGTAGTGTAATCGCCTGTCTCCGTGTGAAGCCTGCACTACACGAGGAATCCAGGAGGAATGCAAGTATAGTGCTCCGAATGAAGATCGACAGGCGATCGCGCAGGCAGAAATGATTACCGAACTCAGGGGCAAGGTGAACCAAATCCGGGAACAAATAGCGCAGCGTTTGGCATATCGGTCATCATTCGATGGTCTTGAAGAGGAGGAAGAGGAGGAGGCTGCTGCTATGGAGATTGTGTACTCGGCTCTGAGGTTAGGAACGGAGGATCTGGTTTGGCACATCGTGGGGAGGATTCGGAATGGTGAAGATTTAAGAGATCTAGCGAAGGATGTGGCGCGGGATATAGGAATTGAGGATGACTTTTCTGTATGTTTATAGATTATTGAATTGACTCTGTCCGATCTCTTATGCATACATATCGATTGCGTGGAAATTGATATACCCAGAGCACTGCACTGCCTAACATGCCACACAGTCATGTTCAGCTATAGAAAAACACCTGCCATTTTTCATGACCAAAATATTACAAAGATGAAGCGAGAAGAAAATTCTCAGCCAACGCCGAGTAACAAACAACAGAAGAATGATATACACCAGGATTCCACACCAATGCATCAGCCACCTATAGCCGAAAGAAAACAACGCTCCGGAGCTTCTATATGCACCCCCCACCCCAAGTCAGGGGTAAAAGAACTATTAACTCATGTCATGGTATCATGAATACAGCGTCTCATCTCCGGCGCGGGAGAATCCCAACTCGACCCTGGTCCCGATGACACTGCTCAGACAGTCCATGAGCTCGAAGTCTTCCACCACCGCTCCAAAACCATAACACCTGACTTTGGTGTTGAGCGTGTCGATTATAATCCTTATGTCATCTCTGGTCAACGAGCGATACATTTCATGGTTTTTCAAACATTGAAGGGCCATGATTGGTGTAATTTGGCCATCGGTCACAAGCTGTCGACTCAGGTTGAGCAGTGTTGTCAGATTGGCATGTGGAAGATTATATGTCTGATGTGGGTAGGCTTGTTCATGGGTTGTGTTGGCAATATAACTGGGTGGCGGACAGGAAGCCATCAATGCGTGTCCAGAGAAAGGCATATCTTCATCATCGGCCTCCGTAATAGATCGTCGACAGAGATAGTCGGTATGTTCGCGACATGGTGATTCCAACCTATTAAGTGATCAGTTATGGAGGGGCGGGAAACCAGGAGCAAAAACATAGGTGAGGTAGAGCGTACGTCAAAATAAAGTCGATTTGCAGCTGCGGATCATTTTCAAAGATACCCGCCGGCTGATTAGGCTGACGACTTGCTGGTGCTATCCGGTCAAGAGTGGCTAAGGCATCGCAGGGAGCAGCATTGCAATTTTGGTGAGGTGATAACTCTTGGGTTTGTGAGACGTCGATGTGCTCTATCCCGTTTACAATAGGGCTTAAACTAGAAGATGTGGCTGAGATGGTCGTGGGTGGCGTCGTGTAAGCGTGCTGAGTTGATGGAGCTGACTGCGCGACAGCTGCAGGCTGCGATCCAACACTGCTGGCAAAAGGACTAGACTGGTATGTTGCGTTTGTTGGACTTGTGCGTTCCGCCTTGCGACGTTCCACTTCCGCCTCATAGCTGATGCCATGTGCGGCTAGAATTTCTTTCAATATATTGTTCTCTTCCGATAATGACCGAACCATCTCTCGATGTTGGTGGACGGTCAAATTCGCCGCGGATATCTCTTGTGTGTAGGCCTCTCGTAATCGTGAGACTTCAGTCTCTAGCGCTCGCATATACTGTTCCTTGCGTTCGCGATGTGTCCTAAACCTCCACGGTTGGTATATAATCACGAAACCAAGTCCGCATTGTCGACGTACCTTTGCGCCTGACGATTTAATTCCTGGCGCCTGGTAAGGGCCGGCTTGCTATCCGGTTTTGGGCCCCGTCGTTTTGCTGGTTGACCATCTGGATCGGCAGAGGTCAGTACCCTATTGGAGACCAAGGAAGCAAGGCGCATACCTCGTGTAACTTTTTTTTGTCCACCTCCGAAAAACTTAAACCATTCTGTTCCCATGGACGCTTTCATTAAACTGCCCTGTGATTGTCGGCCTATCATGGTCTCGAGTCAGCGACCAAATCAGACAAACAACGACAAAGCGCAACTGGAACCCAATGATCGCTAGGCAAAGCCCGTGTCTGCTACGTCGAAATGCTGAGAGATAAGAAAAGAAAAGAAAGGAAGGAAGACAGAAAAGCATCGTGAGAGAGCACATCATTTGGTAGCTGGGTTAACGATGTATGAAGTCCAGTAAAGCACTCCGCCTAGCAGGATCGCATTTCATCTCCAGCGACAGAATGGCCCCGAAAAACCTCAGGATTCGTTTTAAAATCATATAGATAAAAACAAGCCACGAATACGATATCAACTGCATCACGCACTTACCATTGAGTTCATCATTTTGTCGATTCAACGCTTCTACCTCCAAAGGCAAGACTCCGTCATTCAGGGAAGCCATGTTGGTTGGGAGAATGTGTGAAGAGAAAAGTTATGTGGAATGCGACCGGCGTGAAGATGGTAGAAAGGAACGGACGGGTCCAGTGGATTAGGATCTGGATGAGTCTAGAGGCTAGGTTATTATTATGACGGCCATGAACATCTGCGACCGTTGTCAGCCTTGAAACGAACTACTTCCGATAAAGTGGATTCGCTTCGTCCAAGCGCCCTTACCGTTGGTGGTAAGTATGTACATACATCTATCCGGGTTGCTTCCCCCCGAGGAGTTCGACTGTGAATTGAGTTTAGACACGAGGTATCGCCCTGGGAGTCCTACTCACACCATGAAATGACGATAGAGGGGAGATGTAAAGGTACGGAGTAATGAGAGCTCTAAAAGGGATGTGGGGGGAAGGAAGAAGCGTAAGAAATCGAGACGCACAAACAGAGAGGAAGTGGGACAAGGTACCGTCCGTCAGTTGACGATGTCGATGAAGGCTAAGAAATCAGCGGTAGCGACCGCGGTACAGTTCGACTTGGAGTCCCTGTCAAGCGGGCTCGATTTCCACCGATAAACTGGTGGCTTATTGGTTTGATGGGTCTGGTCACCCGTTCTTCAGCGGCCCCAGTTGGCTTGGTCTTTGCGCAAGCTGGATGGAAGAGATCCGTTGTTTCTTTCTCCGGGTACTGAAACGACGAATAAAGCCGAATCGCCCGTTTCCTCGATTTGGGATTGCTTAAATGAGGCAAAAAAAACAAAAATATCAAAACAACTCTTTTTAGTACATGTTGCTTAGGAATTCGATAGTGTATATTGGTGAAGAGGAAAATCAATAAGTCAATCAAGATGCTAAAAGGGTGGACGACCCCAGGTGGGAAAGGAAAAAGAAAAAAAATCAAAGAAATGGAGAGAAAGGGAATGAAATCTCACTATTCTTTCTTGAGTTTGGCTCTAGTAGTTCTCCTGCCACTCGAATCAGAGATGGACTGCGTGTTGAGATCTGATTTCTTTTCAGGGAAGGTATTGTAGTAGTTCAATCTGTAATGGTGTAATACCCACAGCGACGATCGGCCGGATTGATTGGAACTCAAGATTCTGCTCCAAAGAGAAAAAGTAAGCATACCATCCACCCGTGTGGAGGGTAAAACCGGACTCACCCATGCCCCATGAAGCCCGAAAAAGAGCATTGATCTCGTCGTAGAGATCTCTTTCCCTTTTGTTCCTTCATGCGTTCTTTTTCTGTTTCTTTTTCTTTTTTTTTTCCCCTCAGGAAACACTCCTGAGGCTCCTGCAAGGGCGCATAGGGTGACCTCACACGCTCTCTCTCTCTAGCGAAATATTGACTAGGGCTTCCCCGGAAAGCGCTCTACAGCCACATTTGGTACCTAAGTCAAGACTAAAAATTGTCGCGAATCAATCATCGCCGCTATATCAATCAAATTCCCGAAGGATAGGAGTTGCACCCGCCACCCTCTCGTGATTGCCACCCTGATGACGGTGAAACGGTCGCTCAATATTCATTGTAGATGTATTGTATGTAAAATAGGCAATTGTAGTGGTCACCCTTATGTGAACTATCTAATACCCCATTCTCTTTTTAGCTTTGGAGCAACAGTTGCCTTCGATGTATAGAGGCAAAGCGTATCGGCGTTTGGACTGGTCATTCCGTGTTTCTTTCAAGTGTTTCCGATTAACGAGCCCCATCGTATCTTTGGGGCCATTGAAAGCTTGGGATTCTTTGGTGCCGGTATGGTACCAAGTGGGTAAAGATGGGTCTCTCGCCGGGATCCCCAACGCTCTTTCCGTCGACTTAATTGGCACCAGTCAGAGGAGCGAGACCAAGAAAGGAAAGACGAAAAAGGTACTTCTCGTGCCGAAGAGTCTGGTCGCTCAGAGTTAGTAGTTGTACGTACCAGTTGTACATACATACATACATGACACGCATGGCCTCTGCCGGACTTCTTGAGTACTTCTCAAGCATCGTTTGTATTCAGACAATGTGACCTCTGGATTCCTATGATCATGTCATTCGATTGACATTCGTCGCACCCTAGATACTTAGCCGCGTATCTATCCTTGTCAGGGCGGAAATTTTAATTGGGGCTCCAATGTGTACTGGATCTGGGCGTAGTATCCCGGATGCTCCCTGCCACCCAAAAAAAAAAAATTGGAGCCCCCGTCTAATCGGTGATTAACGGAATGGAGGGCCGGCTCGTAACTCTTTTTCTTTTTCCCCCTTCGTCTCCTGCTTGTTGTCTCTTTAATTTAAGTGATGCGTGGAGTATACAATGGCACGTTTAAATGGAGATCTCCATGGAGTGGATAGTGCTATTCTCGACAGCTCGACGCTGACTCCCGGGAAGCGCAACCAAGATGCTGGTACCAAGCATGAAAATCATAAGTGTTGATGGTTCTTAGCAGCCGAATCACCGCCGAGAATTCGGCAAGAGATCGAGATGAGGACTGAGAGGATCCAATGCTATTGAGCTATTGATGCTGATCTCAAACCCAAAGTTGGCATTTTTACCCTCTTGAGAAGTCACCCCACTTCCACATGACTCGCCTGAGCTATACTCCTTTGGGGCCTTCGTTCTCTTTTCTTCACAATTCATTATCATTGCTTTTGGCGATCTTCCACTGAACTACCACAATGTCAATCAAACTTCCTGCAGGATTCATCTGAGAGATCACTCCACCATGTTGCAGCCACCTTATCCCCTGATGTCATGGAACATTCGGAGATCCTTGTCCACATCGCAGCGCCGTGCGGGGTGAGCGACGACGCCCACTACCGCGCTCAGGTTGAAGCTATTCTCGGCTTCCAGAGTGCCTCATGCCAGGTTCTAACTTTGATACCGGGCGACAACAATAATGACCATGATTATACCATCTCTACCGCTGCTAGCGACGGATTGCCCCGGCCCCAGTTGCCATTCAACAACACGCCGCTCCAAGACCCCGTGATCCCTACTAATGATACCTCCAATTTTACGGCCAGTATAATATCGAATAAAACCATCGGGTACGAGGAGCATGAGCTGCCTAATAGCCAATCACATGATTGTTCCCTAAAAGACTATCTCGATAGTCCAGTGAGTGTCATTCCGGATTCTCAACCTGGAAGACCATCTTCGGACACCGGCAACCTGCAGGATGTCGACCAGCAGCTATCTACCACTCGAGCTCAGGGCTCCCCATGCTCTGCAGACTTAACTCGTGCAAAGCGATATCAAACAGAGTTGCCACCGCTAAGAAGTGACCGAAAGAAACTGCGTCATAGCCCGTGCACAAACGACGAAGCTAATGCAAATCAGATCAGTGATTCCGCGGTCCAGTCCACAGCTCTGTCAATATTCGCTAACACAAGCTTTCCTGTTCCCGTGGAAATCAGACCTCCACTACCTCCCATATCAAAAGAACAGTTCACAACACATATCACTCCAACTCTAGAAATGCTAGCCGCTCGTCTGAAGGGCCGGACATACAAACCTCTCAGGCAATTTAGAGACCTAGACATATTAGAAAGAGGATATTGGTATCTCCGTATTGATGTTGTGGATGCGGAGGCGCATGAGCCCATTATCTCCCTGCAGGAGAGCAACGGGGCTTGCATTTGGGACATGTCCACGTTCCGCCGCTTCTGGTTATTCTTGTCGGACTTCATCAAAGAAGGCCGTGCAGGGTGGGGCGTATGGTGCATACTGGAAGACATGCTGAGTGCCCAACTACCACACAATACCCCGGAGTCAACGCTACGCGAAATGGATATCCGTCAGCTGACTCTAAAAGCCTATGCGTGGGGCGAAATAGCGTCTCATATATATCTCCTCCTGTTCCTCGCTAGCGAGCGCCGGGTTCGCAAGATGGGCGCTCAGTGGCGGGATAGTCGGGATGATGTAGTTATCCAGATGCCTCGATAAGATAAAGTAATCGGTGGCACATAGTACACGAAACTATGAGGGCGACCGATTCTAAGCGACACCATTTGTACATACTTAAAACGACATATAAAGAAAGCAATATGAATATATTGAATGCAATGGACATATCTAGTGGGGCGCATTATTCTGCCATATACAAAAACCCACTGTACACTGTGAAGTCCAGTATTGAGAGCCAAGTAGTTACAATGAGGCTCGTCACACAAGCAAGTAGAAAAAGCAGTTCATTGATCTCTTTTACTTCGGTTCAAAAAGGAAACTATAGTACAATCAAAAGGAAGGAGGGATAAAAGAAACAAAAGTGCAAATTTGGAAGTAGACATCGCCATGTTCAAACCTCGGGTAAGTTTGAGAATGGCAAAGTACGGCAAGTACAGTGTTGTCGCAAGCTATGGAGGATTTCAATCCATCACTCACGACTATGCAACGCACCAGCGACCAGAAGACGGATAGGAAAGTAAATTCAGTGTGCTGTGATAAAACCAAATATAGTGGACAAGAAAAGCGCAGAGATATTGAACCCAATATGTCAGCCTGAATCAACGAAATGCAGACACAATACCTGTTGACGCCGTAGTTCAAAGAAACGAAACATAATAAAGGAGAGTTTATGAGAGTTCTTGTACTCAATAGTTCAACTCGCCGCTTCCGGCTCCACCAACCGCATCAAGGTCCTCATAACTTTTAAGACTGCGGCCCTGAACGGCTTCCCGGGGGCCCATTGCTTGTTGGGCAGTGCCAGCTCCCATAGCATCAGCAAATCCACCTGCCCCAGCAAAAGCTGCCGCGGCTGGATGGCCGGGGGGAATGTACGGAGTGCCGGCGTTAGCTGGAAGACGACCACCGGAACCATACATGCCCGACATACCGCGAACTGGGCTCAGACGGCCGTTTCCTGCGCCGCCATGTCGAGGGCCACGACGATCATATGGTCCCGAGCGATTGTAACGGTTATTACGACGCATAGCGCCTGGCTGGTGCAGGCCAGAGTGATCCCCCGAGACTAATCCATTCCCGCTCCAAGAACCAGCTTGATTCGGGACACCCATCATACTGGGCAACCCGGCCCCGGGTAAATTCTGGAAACCACCAGGTACATTTCCATTATGTCCGATGTACGGCGGCATGGATGCTAAGCTAAAGCCACGAGGGGTGCCAGCTTGGCTCTGACCAGAGCTGAGAGGGAAATGGCCATTGCTATTTGCATCAGAGCGCGACGGCGCAATACGAGCAGGGTCCAGAACATAGGCATTCACCAAAGAAAGCTGTCACATGGTTAGTCTCGCATCGCAATGAGGTCTCAGAACCTGGAACTTACGTCACTGCTGATATTCTCAAACCATTCGGTATGACGCTTTTCCACATGTTTGCGCCAGAAATGGTCCGCCTTGAATAACTTAGTGCACTCAGGTACCTTGCAACGGTATTTGGATTCGTCCTCCTGCTTGACATGCTTTGCTAACTCTTCTTCCAGCGCCTCATCAACAGGCTTGCCGCCCAGCTTCCGAATATCCACATTTTCCGGTTCTAGAAGC